ACCAACCATCCATCCAACCAACCAACCAACCAACCAACCAACCAACCAACCAACCATCCATCCAACCAACCAACCAACCAACCATCCATCCATCCATCCATCCATCCATCCATCCATCCGGACCCAGCCTCCCTGCCGCTCTTCCCTCCCAGTGGAGCTCTGTTCCCGGCAGCAGCTGCTCAGGCTCCAGGCTGGTTCTGAACAAGAGCGACTCTGCAGCATCTCCAGCATCAGGAGGCGCTGCCTGGAGCGACCTCACTCTTCATCACCATCCTCATCCTCATCCTCATCCTCATCATCATCTCCCGGTGTGTGATGCATCACAAACCAAACGCTCCTTCCTCACTCACCACCACCAGCTCCTCATCCACCAGAGGAGATGAAGATGCTCCTGGTGAGAAGATCTCCTCCTCCTATTCCTCCCCTCCACCGGATCCGGGCTTACCTCTGGAGGTGCTGAAGGCGGTGTACCAGGACAGCGAGACCAGCCCGCTCAGCCCGAACAACAAGACGGTCAGGACTGAGACATTGCGGAGCCTCATCTCCGGAGCCCCGGGAGCATGTCCGCACCTAGCGGGGCGAGGGCCGGCGGCGGGGCGAGGGCCAGCGGTCCGACCGGAGATAAGCTGCGCGCTGCGGCCGGACAGGAGGCGCAGAGAGCGGCAGCAGCAGACTGGAGAGGACGGAAGGGCCGGAGCGGAGATATGAGCGGAGAGGGAGGAGACAGGAGGAGGAGGGGGAGGCAGAGGACGAAGAGGAAGAGGAGGGGGGGCTGGTTAAATAAACACTATCAGTTCAGTTAATGCACACAGACAGCCCGCCAACACCGAGCAGTTTAAAGGACGAACGAAGACCAACAGATATGTTGACTTTTGGTTTGGTGCTAATTAAACATCCCGTTGAACGGCGCAGCAGCGCCCCCATGTGGTGGCTACAGGACGTAACACGTCAGGGGCGACCCCAGAAAATATTCACAGGGGGCCGAAATCAAGAAATGTTAGGACATTGAAAAATAACGACATAAAAGTAAGAAAAGCTTTATTTCTATAGCACCTTTCATAGACATAAAGAGCGCTACCTTGATGTTTCCTTTTAACTGCTTGTTTGCTATAGTGTCTTGGCCACAACTCCCTGGAAAAAGAGGTTTTTCATCTCAAACGACTTTTACCCTGGTCAAATAAAGTTTAAATAAAAAATACATAAAAAGAAACAAAGCAAAGTGTTTTTCTATCCGTTTATCTTTCCAGAGTTTCTTTCATCATTCATGGAGTTCTTTAGAAATGTGGATGCTGACATTAGCATTAGCTGCTACAGTTGCATTGAGATGATATTTTAGCCTAGCATAGCTTCACTGATAAGCGTGCTCCTTAGTACAACTTCAACACGATAGTCTTTTCGAGGATCCAATCAGATTGTTAGAAGCAGAAATTAACCGAGAAGCTGCTTCCATCACTGCTGTTAGCAGATGTCGGACTTACGGTTGTACCAGAAACAAATGAACACAAAGGTTCTGGATGGAACGTTGCTTCGTGGTTTGACTGCATTGGGTTGCTTAGAGGCTTGCTATCTAAAGAGGCTAAAAACTGAACAGTTGATCGTACAATGGGGTAGCATAATAAACATGTCGTCCTGTTGGTCATTGGGGGCCGGGCCACTTGTGATGACAAATATTTCAAAGAAGCATGCAGACATCAAAAGCATACTGATATTAGTAAATAATACATGTTTAAACCTTGTCATTTTGTCTCTGCATACCGCCCAGCACTGATTCTAGGAGGCATTATGTTACTTTCTGTTCTCCTAAACTGAGATATTCACTCAGTAAAATGTTTCACTGGCTGATCATTGGGGAAGATTTAATTTCTTCAAAGTTCTCAAGAGCAAAAAGAATCAAATTTAATTAAAAATGCTGATTTAATTACATCCACGTGATAAAACACATTAAAAAGATACATCCAGCTGTTCCAGCTGAATTATTCTAGTTTACCCTGACCTCTAGTGGCCACCTGAAGACAGTGCAGCTTTTTCAGCTGTGCAATAAAACATCAGCTTTAGTCCCTTCATGTTTTCTGAAGCCATTTCTCCTGAAACCAAACTCCAACGGGCGATCCATACGCTTCTGAATAGAAACACAGAACTCTGGTGTCACCTGTCCAGAGGAGTTTCATCCTCCATCCAGGTGCAGCTCTGCTGACCCCAGTCCGGCTGCCATCTTGTTTCTAGAGAGAAGAGACTTTCTGCTTCCACTCTTCATGATCGTTAAGTTTTATTAAATACATAACATCAGCTTAGATATTTAATGACCCAAGAAGTGTGTGTTGCTTTTTTAAAGGGCATGTCCTAGTGGTTAGCATTAGCTTTGGCTAGAAACTAGCCAAAGCTAATTCCTAGCCAAAGCTAATGCCAAAGCATTAGCTTTGGCATTAGCCTTCTCCGGGTCAGGGGGGTCATCCTGCCCCAAGTGGAGGAGTTTAAGTATCT